TTGGGGGGGGGGGGGGCGGCATAACACGTTCACTAGTGTAGTGTAATTCATGGCCCATCCAAGGGCTTTGTGTACGTGTGTTTGACTAACGAAAAAAACAAAAACGTAAGTACGTAGAGCATTCGAAGCAAATGGGTTTGACGTCGTGGCAGTTCGTTGTTAAGGGACCAGTGAATACGGGTTTCCCCAATTATGGGTTTCCCACGGTGGAGAGAAGGGTGTGCCACGAGGGTAGGCGGGGACCGGAGGGGGGAGAAGAGCTCGAAACTGATGGGTTTTTTTCTTCTGCAAGGCATCTAGCTGGCCTCGTGTGTAAGAAGCAACAAGTCTAGCTGACTTCTCCTGTGCGCGGCCAAGGTAGAAAAGCCACTGCAAACAACAGCTAGCAAAAAGATAAATTTCGTTGGGGACAGCAGTAGCTGCAGAACACCGCTATCGCTCAGGGCAACTTCTTCTCATCCCCTTTCAACATCTCAGCCTGCCTGCCTCACTCTCTCCCAAGTCCACTAGATACCTGTACAGAGATCCAACTCCTTTTAGGTACCTGTAGAGAGCCGGTGCGTCAAGCGGTGAACCAATCAATCGCTCGCGCGGACGCCTGCGAAAAGCCCACGAAAGAGGCGCTAAAAAACAACCGTAGGCGGGCAGACGGAAGGATGGACACATACATACATACGCACCGTAGATTCGGTTGAGCGAAGCGCACTCGTGGTTCCCCCTCAAAAGAAAAAAAGACTCCGGATACCTGCGCCACGGCAAGGAATTGGAAGGGAGAGGAAGGGAGGGGGGGAGAGACGGGCGTGCGCATGAGTTACGAGAGAAAGAGGCAATATTGAAATGGATCACCGGATATTGAAAGGGATGACCGCAAAAAACTCCTCGGCGGGCATGGGAAAAAAGTGCCGCAGGAAAGTGGGTTTATTGGTTGTCGGCGACTTTCTGCTCTCATTGCTCCGTTTCTCAACAAAAAATCGTCGACACGACATACTTGAAAAAAAAAAATCGTCATGCGGACGCACCCCCCCTCGAAACACTGCTCTCGAAAACCCCTTTTGACACCCAAATATCACACTTTTTTTTGGCTGCGTATGTAAACGTTAGGGCGGAAACGTATTTTCGAAGTGCACGACATGTCATCGACTCGGAAACCCCTGCGTCTCGGCACGGACATGCTCGCGACTCACAGCCGGACCGGACCGGAAAACCACCCAAAAAGAAAAAGAAAGCCCACCGTAGGAGGTGACACGACGTAAGATACCACAGCCCTGGCACCGATTTTCAAAAACACTCGCTCTCCCACCACAGAGCAGAAAGATTTGGCAGCGGCGAAAACGGTGGCGTTGAAGCCGCCTCGCTTTCCGAAAATATCGTTTCATCTACTCTGTATGCATCCTTTTCTTCGTAATCGAGCTTTGAAAAATCCGTCCAAGGGTGGGCGTGGTATCTTGCGTCATGTCCCCTACGGTACCACGTACATACAACGCCGTCAGACACGCCTTACTTAAGCTCGTAGCAGAGAAGCAGCATGACCGTCTCGGTGCAAAGAAAGACGCATGTGTACATACAAGTCCTTAGCACATGGTACGACGACATCAGGCACGCATTTACTTGAGCTTGTAGCAGAGCAGCAGCATGACCGTCTCGATGCTCTGCTTGGCGCGGTCCACGTAATCGCCCAGGAAGACGTAGTTGGCGCTGGGAGGGAAGCCGCCCATCTCGAAGAGCCTCAGCAGGTCGTGGTACTGCCCGTGCACGTCTCCGCAGATGTTGATCGGACATCGCACCTGTTGCGTTGTTACATACGGAAGGCGGAGACCGGGCGGCAAGACGGGCCGACGAAAAAAGGTAGAACTCAACAAGGACGGACGCCCGAAGAGACGAAATTAGGTAGAAATGAACAAGGACGGACCCCTAGAGAGACGAACAAAGGTAGAAATGAACAAGGATGGACGCCCAAAAGAGACGAAAGAAGGTAGAAATCAACAAGGACGGACGCCTAAAGAGACGAACACAAGTAGAAATGAACAAGGATGGACGCCCAAAGAGACGAAAAAAGGTAGAAATCAACAAGGACGGACGCCCAAAGAGATATGAACAAGGATAAGCTTTGTCAGACAGGCACAAACAAGGGTGCTTCATCGACCTGTTGACGCACGAGGGCTGCACTTGTCCTACGGTCAAGGTGTACTCGACCATCCATAGCATCCATCCAACACGGAACCCCCCCCGCGAACCCCGCGATCGTCGCGACGCTCGTGCCCATTGCCCTCGGAGAGCTTTTTGTTTTTACCCCTTGTCGCGAAATGTGCACCACGGCAGAGTGGGACAATTGCGGCAGCAGCCACCCTTTCGATGCGACTGCTGTACTGTACTAAAAAACACACACACAGTGAGGCGGGTAATAGCTACGAGTTCCTTTAAGGTGGGAGGGAAGCGAGCAAGAGCGGTGTCTTGCGCTAAGAAAACAAACCACACACCGGACCAAACACAATGACACCCAACAGACTCAACAGAGAACAGGAAAGCAGCCTGCAGTCACCCTTTCGCCTGGCGGTGGGCTTCTTGAGGTTTGTATACCGTAAGGTTGCGAGTCAGCGCGCAGGGGTGCCACCGATTTTCAAAGCGCCATTTCTCCACAATCAGGAGGTTACCACTGCTGACGAAGAGGGTGGTTTTGGAAATATCTCATCGAGAGCTTTCCGGAGAAGTATCAGTTGGCGCTCGCACCCTCCTGGTTGTGGAGAAATCGCGCTTTGAAAATCGATCGCACCCCTGTGCGCTGACTCGCAACCTTACGGTATATTGGTGCTGGTCGATGATGTGAGTGGGGTGTTCGCATTGTTTTTTATTCATTTTGTCGTTATCGTCGTTTTTCGTTGGCGGTGTTGGTGCTTACTGGTGATCCCACGCGCAAAACATCAACCCTGGGTAAGGGCTTGTAGTAGACGGCAGGACGAGGCTATTGTGGGAGGGTGCGTATGGAGGCAACAAAAAAACAAACATGTGCAGCAAGCAGCCTGCTGCAGCTGTGAGACTCTCTCGATGCTCCACCGGGGGGTTAGTTTGGACTGAACGGACTTATTACTTGGGGGGATTTGTCTAAACCGTATGGGTAGCTAATACCTGAAATGTTTTTGTGCGAAATCGTTCTAGTATTCGAAATTAAGCATCTCTCGATCGATCCCGAACTTCGGTGGATCGATTTCTCTGGAACCACTGTACTTCCTGCCCTATGGGATGTCTTGGATTGCAATCGAGATAGCTTGCTCGAAGGATCACCACCTCCCTTCCCAAAAAATGCAGTGTACAAGGACAGCGGCATCATAGTGCTGGCTATGAAGGGTCAACTCGCTCCTCCCGAACCCACTCACCCCTAGTTCCTAAAAATTAATCAGCACACAATATGATGCATGAAAAATTGATGCACGACAAATGTGTCCACTCTCAAACACAGTCAACAATTATGATATCGTTTGTTTTTTTTTCTTCTCGGAAGCTTGAATTGAATATATTTTGTTTGTAGTTGGAAGACAAGTCATAATCAACGAACTAAACGATGCCTTCAAAATTGAAAAACACGAACGTGTGCCCTCTAAAACACAGCAGTCTGAGAAAATGGTATTGGTGGCGTTGTTTTATACTCCTTATTTCAACATTCTGTGGGTTTGGCGGAAGATAAGCCAAAAGCAGAAGCAGCAGCGATACGCACCTCTAAAAGCATAGGCTGCGCCAGGAACACCTCCCGTGCTCGCTTCACCACGATGGCGATGTCCTCCCCGGGGAGGGCCACTTCCGTCCCCGGCCGCTGAGACTTGACGGACAGCAGCTTGGCTATGCACTCCTCCACTATCGCGTCAACATCCACTGGTGCTGAAGAAAACAGCAGTGAAACAGAAACGAGGCGAGCAAAAATCAAGGAAAACATTACCATACAAATATGTAGCCAAGAGGGAAGAACACAAAGACATGGAAGTGGTTGTGGCCCGTTGCCCATTTTGCCCATTTGCCCGGAAAGTCGATCACTTCCCCGGGGCAAGATGCATATTCCATTGCACTCTGTACATAACATAAATCAACGAAATATAGAAGTATGTGCCGATAACAAGCTGGTTGTTGATGTTGGGGTCGGGTGGAGAGAAAAAGTCTACAGAAGTAGACCTTGCGTGACCCGGTGCGTGAGGCCAGCAGATTACACGCACTATTAGGGAAAATTCTGCGCCAGCTCTGTCGAGGGATCAAGAGAGGTCCATTCCGTGGCCACACCCCCGCCGTCCGTCCTCTCATCTTTGCTGGCAGCAATGCTATTGGACTACATGCGGAAGGACGACGGAGACTGGGCGCTGGTCGACTGCTGTGCAACCAGATGTGCGCAACCACGAAGGTTGGCGAAGGGTAAGGGTCGTAAGGGTCGATCAAGCAGCAGGTACTGCCAGAGAGAGAGAGAGAGAGAGAGAGAGACGCCATCAACAGCACGCTGCTGCCAGTCTGCAGGCTGCTGTACTGCACACGTGTTGCGGAAACAACCATGCGTTCCTGTTATTGACCCGAGCTGCAGGCACACAGGACTTCTGCTGTATTACTGCTGCCGCTGCTGCTGCTGCTTTCGCTTGTGTATGGCGATACGAAGCATTGGAGAGGCAACGCTCCTTTTGCTGCTGTGCCCGTGGTGGCACAGTAGTTCTGATAGGCAACATTTATCTCTCTGCTCTTTCTCGCGCTTATCCTGGACTGCGCAAGCACGTGGTCAACGTTTGTATGTGCCTGCCTGCCTGCCTGCGCCCGGTTCCTCTCGGTCTACACAAAACGACGGCAGCAGCAGCAGCAGCAGTTGGACAACTTCCACAGCAGAGGCCCCACCCTCTCAAACGGCCCCATTTGGGAACGACCCTCACTCACCCTCGACTTCGGGGGACTGCTCATCACCGCTGGCGGCCCCATCTCCCTCGTCCATGCCAACACTGGCTCCGGTTGTTTCTCCCCTGGTTCCTAGCCCCAGCTGTCCGGGTTCTCTCGCCTATGTAGCTGCTGCTACTGGCTGTGGCTTCTGCTCTGCTGCTGCAGCTGTGCCGCCGCAGGTGTGTGCTGCCTGTTTTGCTGTTGCAGTCACAAGTCAAAAGGTCACAACCAAGGTAGTCCTTCCCTTCAGCGATAAACCAAAGGACTACCAGACATGATACGATGTGACGTGGTGTGGTCCAGCTGCAGGCAAGAACTGGTTGATTCGGCTGCTGGCAGAGATAGCACAGCAAAAAAGGGGCCGCGGTCTGGCACCAGAAAACAAGACAAGTAGAGGGTAGTTCAACGTCTCGGATTTGGCGCAGCAGGCAGCAGCAGCAGCGTATGCGACAGCAACGACACTCACGACGTACGCGGCACCGCGTGTAGGACAGAGATCTCAAACAGCGTGTTCGGTTGCTGAGCTATCGCTGATCGCCCGCAGGCAACGTGTCCTTTGTGGCCTGTTCCTCTTGCCTCTCACACGCACTCACCTCAAAACAGAGGCCCCCTGTCGTCATATGATCGATCGATCAGATGTGATGGATGATAGCAGGAGACAGGAGACATTCCGACCGACTGGTGCGGCGGGATTTGCGATGTAACGTTCGATCGTATTTGGAATCAAATTCCTCGTTTTTCGACTTCAACATCGACGTCGTCGGCGACACCTATGTATGGCGGTGAAGCCCCTCTGCGTGCCTTCTCGCCTCGAAAGGCCAGCTACTTTGTTCTTTGTTCTTCGTTCTGCTGTCGGGTTGCCAGTGTGGCGTTCGGTTTCGCGACCCTTACCTTTTGTGTTTGCCTGTTACCTCGTGGAGTATCTGTTTCGACAACAACAAGTGGATCGGAGATTTAAGGATCCATAAGAAGGGCGTAGGAACAACTTTTAACAGCGAGGGGGCCTCGTCGGTGCCGATCGGAACCGTTCTCGATTACCCTTGCCCTCTGCAAGGCATATTGTAAGGATGGGAGATCAAGGGAGGCCTGGAGGGCCCATCCGATTCAAGACCACCTTCACAAACACCATCTACGAGGCCATGAAGCGCAGGGGGTGGAGGGAGACCAACAGCGACTCGGACTGGGACTTTATATGGGCGGAGCGGTCAGTGATTTCCTCGACACTGTTTAGCTGCATGAAAACGTGGCCGTGCAACGCCGTGTAGGGCGGTACTGGTACAGTCTAGACCTTCAATATGTTCGCCAACTAGAGCCGCACATTTTGTACGAAAGCACGTGGCACTACTGCCCGTCTGTGCATTCTTTCGCCCCATTCAATGGTCAGCCTGTTCGGATGATTGTCGTTGTGGGCTGCTCTTCTTGTGTTCTTGCTAACTACGCGTGGATGTAGGGATGCAGCGTTCTCGTTGCAGCCCAACGGGGCGAAAGATCGACACACTCAGTCCGCAAAATGTTGGGAGTGCCGGCGAGGGGGCGATTCAACGGCAATCTTAAACGTAGTCGTTCAGGACATACCCGGGTACCAGGTTAATGAAGCATGTTCCCCGTACAACAGGAGTTGTTCCTAGACACATGCATTCGACGTCCCCTTTTTATTTCAATGCTTGCATTCAGTACTTTTAGACTCTTTGCTCGAAGACTGCTAGACTCTACCAACCCCAATGACACTTCGTACCGTACAACTTTAAACGAGGGTCCTTCTTCACGCTATCTACCACCACCGTCGTTCTTCCAGGGATATCGCCTATGACACGTTTGACACGAGGCACCTCCTCAACTGGCAGAGGGTCAACCACTTTCGGAACGACCGAGAGTTATGCCGGAAAGATCTCTTGGTCAAGAACCTCAAGAAGCGGTGAGCGAGGGGGCGGCAATACAAATAATCGCGGCAGACCTCCACGTAGACAATTTTGACATGAGTGAGCTGAAGTGTTTCTCAAACCTTCCTGTCGTTATTGAACACCGTGAACTGTTTACACAACTTTCGTCGAACACTGGAGTGTTATCGATATGAGAGGCCAGCAGGGGAGTAAGGCCAAATCTTCTTCCAAGACGAAGAACAAATACTGGTTATATAGCTACACTTCTGTTGCTTTCGGCAAAACATGCATTCTTCAACCCCAAACGACAAGGGGATGGGAGTCGCTTTACGGCACACTCTCCACCATCGCCCCATACGCCTGCTGCGTTGCGGCCTATTCTCTATCAAACCCTTCGATTTTGGCGCGGTAGGTTGCGGTTCGGCTCGGTTAAACCTGTCAAGGTACAGCATATCCACTTTGACTACAAGTCAGCGAGAACGGCGGTCCTTCAACTCGATATGCTGTACAACTTGACGAACCCACGCCGTGCTGACGCAGAAAGAGATCGATCCAGAAAGAAGGCCATCAGGGTGAGGCCGATCGGCACGACTTCTGGCCGACGACCTACGTTCTTCCCGGAGAGTACGCGCTCTTTGCGGAGGAATCAAAGCGGAGAGCCAACAGCAAGTGGATCATGAAGCCGATCGCACGCTCGCAGGGCAGGTGTGTGTGCCATGTTTATGCAGGCTGCGCGAGAGAGCACAACCCGAGGAATACCAGAGTGTGTGTGTGAGTGTAAGCGCAGACAAGAGAGAGAGAGCGATCCCGAGGCGAAACGGGGCGATTTCCTTGCCTTTTTCCCTCCTCTCGTACGCGGGGCTCTTCGAAGGCACCACGTCGGGCGAATGTACGCTCAACTTTGCTTCTGAGGGCGCCGCAGATCCTCTCTCTGACTTTGCGTGATGTAGACATTTATTTCTCCCTTTTGTCGTCTTCTTCTCTTTCCGTGGATCACGCGAAAAGAGGGATATTCATCGTGACGAAGCTGAGTCAGATCAGCAAGTGGAAGTCCGACAGCCGGTGGGAGAAGACCAAGGAAGACACCCCGGAGACCTACGTCGTGCAGCGATACGTCACCAACCCCTACCTGGTCGCGGGGCGCAAGTTCGACATGCGCCTCTACGTCCTCGTCACCTCGTACATGCCCATGACGGTGTGTGTTGATATCGCACGACGCTCTGAGTCCTTTCCCCTCTGTACGAAAAGTTCAATAGTTTACACTGACTGTTAGACCTGAGCAATTGCTTCCTGGGTGGCACGCATCTTTCATGGAACTGGTATGAGCCAGGAGCGCTGGTCAAAAGCGAGGCATGGGCGAAGAGGTTCAAACGCCAAGCCTCTTTGTAGCGAGGGAGGAGGGGGGTGTACACTTGGGCGCACGCCTGCGCCCTGGCTGTTGAAGCGCTCCGATTTTCAACTCAGCGCTTGTTGTGCACACGACAGACAGCCGTAACATCTGCGGGACATATCAGTTCAAGGACCGAACGTGCGTTATGCGAAAAAAATATCAGTACAAGGGCCGAACGTAGGTGTAGCGCGGAAACAGGACTCCACTCATACCTCCTACGGCTGCAGTCTCGGGATTGATTTTGGGTGAACATGTTCGTTTCACGTGATGAGCAGGTGTGGGTTTACCGCTCGGGGTTCTGCCGCTTCTCGCACGCCCGCTACTCCAACGCCACGGAAGACCTCGAGGACATGGAAAGGCACCTCACGAACATCGCCATACAGGTAAATCGACCACTGCCGTGCACGATGATGGAAGAGAGGCTTTCAGATCGAATCCTCTTCTTGTCAGAATTGAACTTCTCACTAGTAGCTCTGTCGACGCTGTACTGGTATCTCTCTCTATTTTCCGCGTGCTCTTTGACGTGCCGTGTTACATTTACGAGGGAGTCGCGGCCTTCCCGCGCGTCATGCTTAGGAGTCGTGTCGACGAGCAAGCATGTGGTATATCGGTTGTTGTTTGCTTGCATCCAGGAGTTCGGTCTATGCGTGCCAGCACTTGAGAACCGGCCTAGTGCGATTGATCCCCGTGCGGGTGCGAAAGACAGCGACTCTGCTGCACTGATCGAAGGCCTGATTCTCCAAGACAGAATCGCGAGCACGCGCTTTGAGTGTCGGGTTGTGCTGAGAGAACCAGGTAGAACGTGAAGCATGGAGCAAAGACATGCATCAATTGCAGTTAACAAGTAGACTCCAGCAGTTGCTCACCATGGAAGGCACCATGGATGGCAGCAAAGGGCGGACGGGAGTAAAGAGACAGAAGAAGGGGGCGGGGGTGCTTCGGGCGTGACCGCCCTCCCGTGCGCTTTCTGTCGTGCTTAGGTTGGTGGTGTGATACATCGTGCCGGCTAACCCTCAACAACGCCTCTTCTCTTCTACCCCTTACTCAGAAACGAACAGAGAGCTACGACAAGGAGTTCGGCGGCAAGTGGGGGATCCGGCAGCTGAAGCTGCACCTCATGGCGCTCCACGGAGTGGCCGCGGTTAATACCCTCTTCCACGAGATACAGTCGCTCATCCTGCGGAGTCTCCTGTCCGTGCAACAGGTACATAGGTGTGCTCGCGTTTTTCGCGCGTGCGTGGGTACGGTTTTTTCTTTGTCGTTTGTTTGATTCTCATCAACCGAGCTTACTGACCGACCAACAAACAGGCGTGGTCGCAACTGGTGTTGTAGTTATTTTAAACCGACATACATACAGTCATAGAAAGACTGCACGTTCGAGATGATACCATAGTCTCTTTGTATGAGCTGTTTGTATGAGCTAACGGTCCACTCATAACATGCCGTAATTTCTTCGCGGTGTCGCGTCTACTTCACTCAGGTGATGATCAACGACAAGCATTGCTTTGGGCTGTACGGGTACGACATCCTGTTCGACGATAAGCTGAAACCGTGGCTACTAGAGGTCAATGCCTCGCCGTCCCTTTCCGCCAACACGCCCGCTGACAAGGAGCTCAAGGTGAACCTTACAATACGGATGATGAGGTTTCAGTGAAGCATGTCGTGGTTGGCCAGACTTGGAAAGTGGGGTAAACTTTTGTTTCGGTTTTGTACGCGGCAGGCGAATGATTTCCCCTTTGCACCACCGTAAGCACCATCACGCCTCTGCTACTGTCCACTCCACGGTATGCTGTCCTAACACTGTCGCCCCCCCTCACGTCGCCCTCTCACAGACCGCAGGCACTACTCAAAGACGAAAACCCGCAATGACCCGACCGGCCATTCACTTGACCCACTCTCGACCCGTCACATGGATGTAACCAAACATCCTCCAAACGCAACAACCGAATCGATCCATCAGGTCACCATGCTCTCCAGCGTCCTCGACGTCATCGACCTCGAGGGGCGTAACCAGGGGGACGAAATACGCGTCGGCGGCTTCGACCTCATCCACGCCGGCGGGTCGACCAGCAGCACCTCTCCCTCCGCCAACATGCGCGGCGGCGGAGGCGTGGGGATGGGGGGGGCAGGCTTAGGGGACAAGAACGGCTTCTACACGACGGCGTTGGGTGCAGAGATCCCCCAGCAGAGGGTCGATCGCATGCCCCGGGCTAACGAATCATCGAGCAGTCTACCCCCCTCCGGAGCCAGCAGCGGCGGAGGGGGGAATGGATGCGGGACGGGAACAGCCGGGGGAGACGCAACAGGCGGGGGAGGTGGGTCCACCAATTCTCCGGCACGAACTTCCGCGAAGGGCGGCGGAAGCAGCAGCGGCGGCGGCGGCAGCGGCGGCGTTGGTGGCGGTAGCAGTATTAGCTCGAGAGCGTCCTCTTCCTTAGCCAGAAGTGTGCGGGCGACAGGCTCGAGCGACAGCTTGCCTAAAACAGGGGACGGGGGAGGTCGGGCGGGCCGAAACGAGGCCGGGGGGAGGAGCCAAAGCCGGGGCAGCGAGGGCAACGGGGGTGGGAGCAGCGGCGGTGGCAGTAGAGCCGGCGCCATCGGAAAGGGCGGGGTCAGGAGCGGGGATCACCACCACAGAGACGTGGGCCGTGGTGAACACCGAGATCGCGGGGCGGGGGGCGTGGAGCGAAACGGTGCAGGGGGGAAGGACCACCCGCCCGCCAGCAGGAGTCACACCGCCAAGAACCGGGATAGCAGGGCCGCGACAACAGCAACAGCAGCCGACGAGAACAGAAGCAACAGCAGCAGCAGCAGCAGCAGCGGTAAGCGCGTTACGAGGTCTCCTCCGAGGAGGCCGCCCGAAGACGCGAGCAAAGGAAGCAGCAGCAGCAGTAACAACAGCGGTAGCAGCAGCCCGGCGACGTCGTTTCCACCCGCTAGCCGTGAATCTTCGTCGGACTCGGAAAAGCTTCTGGCCAGTGCCACCGCCGCTCGAAAACGCGCCATCAACAACTCCTTCTCATCCTTGTCATCGCGAGAACGATGATGATGATGATGTCAATCAACCGTCAGAGTGAGAGCCGGGCGGTGTCCCATACGAGTGCGAGCTTGTGCATCGTTCTTGTTCTCGCAAGCAAGCGCTACTTCTAGCGAGCACACTATACGCGAGCGAATGTTCGACCGCTTTTCGTAGCAAAGGGCAAATTTTGTCTATTTTCTTCAGGTTGCAAGGGTCGACATGACCGGGTGCCGGCGGGTGCCGGCGTCCGCCACTGTGTGTTTGTCATTGCTTTCCATGAAACGGGGGCATTTCTGCATTATTTTATTATTTTGCATCCCCCCCCACCCACTCCACCCGACCCTACCCCTCCCCACCCCACCCCATCCATCGCCGCCACGTTAATTCTTGATTGGATATTGTCGCCCACCTCTTGGTAATCAGCGAGCAACTGACGACGCCTTTGTTTTCTTTCGTGCAACCAAGCATTGGAGAAGCACGGCTTCGGGCGATTCGGGGAGTGTTTCGATGAGATTCCTTGAAGAAAATGGTATTATTTACCCGAAGGGCCGGGGGTTGTTCGAATTTGACCAAAACAGCTGTGCTGAGAAATTGACGGGACGAGTGTATAGTCACGGGCGTTTCCCGCGAGGCAACAACATCCATCGCCAAATTTCTGTTCGAGTGCCCGGGATCTACATTTCTCCAACGCCATTGCTACCGCAGGGTGTCGAAAAAATATAATCTCCAACCGGGGGACGGTGATACGGCGAGAAAATATCACCAGCACTGGCCGCAACCTCAAGAAGAGTTCGACCGCAAGGCTTCCGTGTGTCAGTTTATCTAGATAGTTCTGCCGTTTCACGCTTCTCGTTCCTTTTCTGTTTCTGACCTCTGACCCGGAAAGAGGACCGGTGAAGCGAACTCGAGACCGAGACTCAACTGAAACATGGTAAGACACAGGAGGCTGCTTTTTGTGTAAGCCGTTTTGTTTTTTTTTCGTCCCACTTTTCTTTGGCGGCAGCAGTCTACACCGTTCGGTGTATGTTTGACGCACATCATCCGCTGTCTCCCACATCATGCCATGAAAGAAAAAGCATTTTTTTGTCAAAATATTTTTTGTTCACTCTCTCATCTTCGAGGAAACACGATTACCCTCTATCCGTGACAAAACGCAACACCAACGTCTAACAGCCCTCGTGTCATCTACATACCGAAGCGGCTGTTTCTATCCAACCAATCACACAGACCTCACTCGTCTTCACTTTCTATACCATCGCGCCGGATATGAGCGAGTCGACCAAACGTAAAAAAACGCGACACGTGCCCACTACGCACAGATGAGCACGCTCGCCCCCGGCATGTAAATCAACACCTCGGATGGCTTCAAAAACACGGTTGTATTTGTCATTTGACATAAAAGCCGTGGATTTAAGCATCATCGTGTTTGATTTAAAACGATATATTTTACCCAAAATTGCCCCCCCGACCCACCCCAAAGTCAACGATGCAAGGCACTCGCACGGAACACCCAATACACGATAAAAGAACTCTAGCAATGTAGTGCCCCTGCGTTCTGAACCGTCCATTTGGCGATGGACAAACACGCATGATCTTTCGCAGCACGCACACGTAACACACTCACACATACCCACACGAAAAAACGTAACAACTTTCACCGGTTCTCGCGGAGACACAACAACGACGATTCGGTGAGGGCCGCCCTTCGAACAAAAAATCTCATTACGTTGCGACGGGCATGTATGCATGTTCACACGCACCTATTGCGCCACCATGGGGGGCGACAGAGCCTCCGCCGCTGCAAACGCACCCGGCGGGCTCCCTCACACAGAAACGCCAACAAGAGAGAAACCCGGCAACGTCGTCGGCCATACTACCCTTCTCGAACGCATATTTGAATATTTTTTCAGCGCGTCGAAGTCGCATGCACCCTCCTCTCCGTGGTGCGAAACCGCCGCCAACGGTCAACAAGCTCTATCGCGGAATCACAAAATCAATCAATCTCTCTCTCTTGCGTTCATCATCGTGTGGACATCACCGGTGTGGAAATCAACCCATTCATTTATCTACAAGAAGATGATAATCCATGTTACTATTTCATACAACAAACGTTTTCCCACCGCACACACGAGGCGTTAACTCAGCTCCGCCCGTCCCCACTTCAGCACCACCGCCGGCGGGGCCGGCTTTCCTTTTTCAATTTTTCAGTCCGATTCCGCGTCCTCCATCCTCCTTCGCGCCGCTCGGAAGCTCGACTTGAGCCGCCACACCTCCTTCTCCCCTCCCTCCACGACGATGGACCGCACGAGCTCGTCCGTCTCGCGCAGGAAGGTCTCCTCCCGCCAGCCGTACAGCCGGCACGCCTCCTCCACCCCGTCCAGCCCGCCGTTCTGCGCCGAGGTCATGGACCGCACGACCTGCGCGGCGTGCCGCCGGCAGTAGTCCACCTGCAGGGCCGCCCGCCTCAGCTCCGGGTTCCTCGCCCGGACGGCCAGCTCCTTGGCGATCTCGACGGCCTGCAGGTCCGGGGAGTAGACGTCCGCCTGAGACGCGGCGACCGGGAAGCGGTGGACGGAGCGGATGACGTCTTCCGGCCACGACACACTCTTGCGGTGGGACCGGGAGGGCGGCGGCGGCGGCGTGGGCGGGGGTGTGGTGGCTGCCGTCGACGCTGCCTCCTCCGTCGAAGACGAGGAGGACACCCATCGCCCCAGGACCGCGTTCTCGTCGGTCTTCTTCCGCGGCAGCAGCAGGACGGGCTTCTTCGCCGCGGTCGTCGTGATGATCTGGACCTCCGCCCCGGCCTGCCGCTGCGGCCTCTTCTGCTGCACGTGGCGGGGGTCGGCGGGCAGCAGCCCGTCTCCGCCGCCGGGCCTGGGCCACGCCACGAAGCTGCAGGACGACCGCAGCCCGAGAACCTCGCCGCCGTCGCGGCGGCGGGGGCGCGAGAAGACGGGCGCCCTCGCCGGCTTGTACGCTTCCGACAGGGCGGCGAACGGGGAGCCTCGTCGGCGACCGCGCGGCCCGCCGCCGGCACCGGCGCCGCCGCCGGCGCCTGGGAAGGTTTGCAGGGTTCCCCTCTCGTGGTTCGGGATCAGGGCGGCGGAAAAGGGCTCCAGGCTGTGCGGGTTGTTGTGGGAGGCGTGGCTGGCGTAGGACCGCTGCCTTCTCGTGAGGTAGGACGGAGAAGACATGTGCGTAGCTGTGTTGTTCCTCGCGTGGGAAGGTGCCACTGCTGTTGCTGCTTCGTTCGCTGCTGTTGGTGGTGCCACAGCAGTAGTAGCGGCAGTGCACAGCTGAGTTTCTTGTGGTTGACGTTCGCCGTTCCTGTTGGCCAGAAAATTAGCCGCCGACAAGTTGAACCTGACGTTCGACGTTCGGGACAGATGACACACCTGCTGCAAGAACCACAACACACAGTGCAGGCCACGGGGCAAGCAGGCACGGGGTGGTGATGGGGATGGAGAGGGAGGAGAGGAGCCGGGTGAGATACTCGAAGCGAGATGACGGGGGTACCCAGACGCAGGTTTCGCGGAAAACGTTCATCGAAAAGGAGCATGACATCGATGACATGGTGTGGGCTGCAAGCTGTTCGAAGTTCGAAGGTTCGAAATCCACCAATCCGTGCAAATATGACCCAACAAAACACCCCGCCGTTTGACCCGGTGTGAGCTGTATACAGCGCGACAAATCGATATTTCAAAAAGAGCGAGACAGGAAGCGAGAGCTGCACCAACCTACAGCAACGACATGACAGGCAAGCCCGGCAACGCTGCATGGGCGTTCGGGAAAGCACGTGGTGACGCACAGCGCCGGGCCACAACCAGGGGTCGTTCGTGCGGATAAACGTCATGCATTTTTAAACACCGAGAAAAACGGCCCGCGAAAATTATCCGACGCTGCGTCTTTTCCACGCCGCACGCCGTTCACCACTCCCACCGTCATGGCCAGGAGCGGCTCGCCTTCCTGTAGGGGGCTCACCTAGATGCTTGGCTTCTTTGTGTTGTCCAGGATGTAGCGAGGTTTGATTTGGTTTGGTTCCGCGCTGATTTGGTTGGTGTCTTGATGGAAGATGTGAAAGTGATGTGGATGTGTGTGCAGCGCGCAAGTGCAGGCGAAAAGTGGCACTGCTGAGGCACTGAGCTGGCGCGCTGACTTCAACATTTTTTTTTCTTCTCGTAGTTGCCCCGCACTTTTGCCGAACAAGGCAGCAAGCATGCCTCTCTCCCTTTTGTGGGGTGCGTTTTAGTCAGTGTTTGCGCACGATTTTTTCTCCGGGAGTACAGCAGTATTGTATGGGTAGATGCGTAGGACTACACTTGTAGCTCCTCCCTGTTTGGCACGCGCACACACAGCTTATGTGCGAATATATACGGTCGACTGCAGTCAGTGACAACCAACCACGAATGGCTGCATGGACAAGGATCCCGCGCGGTTCAAGATTCAGAGATGACGGCAGACAGCCGTGCGTGCTAGGGCTGAACCTGAACCGACCTCGGGGGCTGAAAGCGCAATTACAGCAGTACGGAGGAACTACTCTCATTTCATGTTTGTTTATAGTTGTCTTACGAAACACGCCGCTGCGAGCGTACTTCGGCCGTAGTACCAGGCAGAGAGAGCTGACGGCCGAACATATGCAACACGCGCTCTCCTCATGTCCACATGTATGCCTACTCAATGAGGAGGGAAAAACACGCGCATCAGTTCGCCTTGATGGAAAGCTATTCGATGTTGGATGACCATGGTCCCACCGTCCGTGTTGTGCCAGGAAAACAGCAGCGATATTCGAACGGAGCCCTTGCGAAAAGTGTTGCTACTGGTACGTACTTCGAAGTAGAAGAGAATCCCACACGATGTTGCACTGTACTTCGAAGTAGACGAGAATCCCACGCGAGATGTTCCACTGCCGCACAATGCGACCATCACTCAACATTGTCGCTCGCCACTCAAGCAATACACAGCAAGATGTGCACAACATTAATCTGCACAAGTGCGCCCGTGCCATCGCACTGAGGAATCCCGGCATACGGTTTGAGGAACGGAAGGCGAATACATCGGATAGTCTACTGTTAAATCCAGTACGCATGTATGGAACAAACCTGCCTTCTCCTCAAAAACGCGTGCGACACTTAGCTGTACGTAGTAATCCATCTAAGCAACGACCCTAGGCATGTCGATATATACAGAACGATCAACCCATCAGTCGAGGTCCAAGCGACACTCGCAGACTTGATAACTACCTTACAGACAGGTACACCCTCCCGTGCACAGTCCGGGTAGACCACGATCCGCCTCATCCTTTCTCTGCCTCCAAGATAAAGTTCATGATCTGGTTACCGGAGCCCACAGAAAAGACTCTTTTGAAACCCCGGGTTCACGGACTCCGTTGCACTGCCCACACAAGGTTCCCCCAAGTCGAAGACTATTGTAACTCCGTCGGGACGCTGGGAGGTGGGGGGGGGGGGGTCCCGCCGTCGCCGGCCAGCAATTTGGTGCCGTGCTCCATGCTCGTCACTCTTTCTGTCTTGTGAAGCTCTCTTTGCGTTGTCCTCCATGCTCGCCACTATTTGCTTGCTCCGTACCCATGCTCTCCACTAAAGCATGCTCTGTGCATCATCGGGAGGACACGCAAGCACCCTCGTCACTCCACGGTGGTGCATGTCTCTTCACAACGCCTGCTGTATGAACTGCGAGCACGCCATCGCGTCAAAAGAAAGTGGGTGGAGCGGCGGGAGGGGGGGGGTCACAAATGAGGCGTGGTTGGTAGGGATAGTCAGTGGGATAGAATCCCGTCCGCGAGAATAACTAAGCGTAAGCGGTCCGCGAAAGGAATACGCCAGTGTCTCCTTCCCGGATTGGTTTAAGATTAGCACGATATCCTGTATGCTTACGACGCTTGCAACAGGGCGGTGATCGCCTGATGGTTCTCGGGATTCCACGGACAGAACGTACACTTCCGCCCAACGCGAACTCACGGCTACTCAAACAAAGAGAGAAGCGACACATGTGCCCCAAAAGGAAAGCTGAAAAAACCTTGAGCACACATCAAATGGAACGGGGTTGCTGCGCGCCTCTCGCTGCAATATGCATAGCATTCCAACATGCGCCCAAGATCACGTACAGCAGTCAACAGCTTCCGAAACGGCGAACAAAGTTGTTGGATTCAATCTGCTCTCCGTTCCAAAATAGATCACATGAACGTGTCGGGTATCGCAAGTCCAAGCCGTGTGTCCGCAAACAACTGCCCGTTCACGATGCAGGAGAGAGGTATGCCTCCCTGTTCATCACCGAACGGTTGGCGAACAAGTGGGCATATGGAAATAAATCGGCAAAAAAAACGTTCAAACCTATCAACGCCGCCGACGAACAAAACTCCGCAAACCAACAGAAGAAGAAAAGCACACTAATGGTGCGACAAGCAGCAGCGCAGGGTGTACGCACGCGCCACACACCTCGAAAGCGTTGCCGTCCAGGTCTCTACAAAAGAGCGCCGCCCTGCCGCTCTTGGACATGGTGTAGGTCACGCCGGCGCTGTCCAACCGACCCTTGAGCGGCCGCAGGTCCGCGATGCTGAAGGCCACGTGTCGGTCCCTGCCCCCGTGCTCTGGGCGGCCGTCGACGGGGTCTGGGTTGGGTAGCTCCATCAGATGGACCTGGGGGAGCCATCGCGGAGACGACAGTAAACATGGTGCGTTTGGGAGGGAGGCATTTAGCTATGGGTTGGAGGCAGGCCGGTAAGCAAGCAATCAGCTTCATGAGTCAAATGGACTCCCATCAGCTCGCACCAGAGCGCCTTTTGGGTAGTCCAGATACGCCATCGAACACAGGTGAACAAATTGTGTAGCTCCGTCACCATTCAGGATGATACAAAAGAAAAAAAAAACTAACCTTCAAACACTTCAGCCGGGTAAAAATCAACGAGAAAGACAGCAGGTACCATCACTCGAGATCCGGTGCGTGGATACACATGAGATGGTCGACAAACACGCGAGACAAAGAGACAAACAAAAACGAGAGACTCGAAAGACACATGTTCCAGAATTGCAAGAATCCGGGAAATTTTGTATGACAGGTGTGGAGATTTCACCGCCGCTGCAAATACACCAAATAGTTGGCCAGATATTGAGTGGGGAATCTTGCGGATCGTTGACCAAAATATTCGACTCTTTCAAAGCTACATACCTGTGGAGACCGCGATCGGACAGTCTTTCGACTATCCGGTCTTCTCTCTTCGATGGCAACTCTGTTTCTCTTCCGAGACGTCTCTCTCTCTCCTTGCCAGAACCCCACGAAATAATTTTCTGCCTGCCCCCGGTAGTGGGTGAAATACCACCATGTACCGCACCACGACTTGAATCACCTCCTAACGACGGTACGTAGCCTGTGTCCTCAAAACCGTCTGTATCAAAAGACGTATGAGCAGGCGTAACACAAGGGCCACATCCCATCACAAGCAGTATTTTGAGTAGCGCTTGTTGTACAGTCAGAAGAAATCCAAGCGCTTGCGCTGTTGTAATAACAAACCTGGGTCGCGCCGGCTCGAACGAAGGCCCCATCGAACGGAAGCTGGGGTCGCAGGGGAGACTCATCCTCAAACCCAAACACATTTACGTAGAACTCCTTACGAGTAAAAATAGCAGTGGAGCAAGGGGGCGACGGAAAATGGGGTGGGTCACAGAGAAGTATGGGTTACGGTTCATTCAGGGGTGAACGCGGCCTCGAGCGGTGTGATGTACTTCGGCAATCACTCTCCTAATACTAACTACACATGTGCTGTAGCTGTCAGCGCTCGTTTGTGGGCGGACAAAAATGTGCACCGTGTGTCTACTCCCTCAGCTTTTGCCGGGTATGCATGATCTATAATCTCTAATACGCGTCGTACCAAGGTGACACGAGACAGCACAGCGCACCCCTTGCGGCACTGGTATTGTGTGGTCTACAGAAGAAGCTTTACTTGTACTCAGGTCCCCCGGCCTCGTCTGAAGCCCAATCAATCCCTGTAGTCAGGTGGAGCCGCAAGAGAGAGAGAGAGAGAGAGAGAGAGAGAGAGAGAGAGAGAGAGAGAGAGAGAGAGAGAGAGAGTTGTTCTTGTCGTCTTTACATCATACCTGGTGGCCGTTTGTTCCGATCTATACTCTGCATGGTCGAACTGATGCGGACGCCCGGTCAGGTCACAAGGTATCTATTGTAGCAGGCAAGTCTCACCAAAAACTCTGTATGATCGTCTGCCGTCCGCAGTATCTCTGTCAGAGTCAATCTTGAAATCGTGTAGCACGCACTTTTCTGCTCTACACGGACTGCCTACCAAGCAGTGTACCTATTGTACGAGTTTGCTATTTCACGTAAGTACTGCTGTACTGCTGTGTAGGTCACTGCTGTACAGCAGGTCAAGTACATTTATTTACATACAACAGCAGTACAGCAGGAGCTATGTACAGCAAAGTCTCCAACCACTGCAACCTGTACCTTGGACGCCTTTGTATCGCTGACCAGAACACCAGCGTGCTGTATACCTCCAAATTCAGGTGCTGACGCTTCTGTAGCACGGATCGACGATTCCCGGCGGGGTCCTCCTGCTGGAGCAGCTGCCCCCGGGTTGAGTTGCGGATGATGATGCCTACTGCTCGCATGCGTACCGCATTTTGGTAGCATATTGCCTACTGGCTGCACAAAGGCATGGCAACACAGAGGGGCAACAACGAGAAGTAAGGCTTGGGCACCTCCTAGATAATTTTTTCGGGCCATGACGATGGTGTGAGTGGTGAAGCTAGGACAGGCGCTGGCAGGCGACGAGCGTGGTGACATGATGAGGCAATTCAACTCTCCGCGGGGGGTCGGCAGCCCATGTCCATTTTGGAGCTAGGGTACCCGCAATCCAATCCCAATTAGAGGGACCCTTGCATGCTTGGCCTTGCCACAGCAGACAGAGCAAAAACCGCTTCCGTGTTGTTGTGACAGAGGGAAGAGATGGACGAGGTTCAAGAACCACCTGTTAGGGGTGCGAGCGATCAAGGAGAGGAATGTTCATCGTCTCAAGCTGAAAGTGATGGTGTTGATGAGATGGACAGCGACAGCTGCATCAACAGCAACGAAGAACCCGACGACGACAGCAGCAGCAGTAGCAGCAGCAGCGGGGCAATTATTGCAGAGGCAGTAGGTGGATCTTTGGACGCTATCCGCCTGCTAGACGAGGAGCTTGTCGAGCTGGAAAAGCTGATGAAGCTGCAAGCACGGAAAGTCGAAGCACTCGAGGAGCTGCGGCGTCAATGGCTTTCTGGCGAAAGGTATGCGCGTGTGTAAGCAATGGATGCTGTCGGCTTTCTTTTCGTACCATGTTTTTCCTCCTGGTCGATGGGGTCGATGGCGAACGGGCATGACCGCGTGATTGCTGCGGCGCTGGACGGCTTGCGCGCAGGATGGGATGTAAAGCACCGACATACGTACTGGCAGTAGCAGTGTAACAATTTGTATTTTAGGCGTCGTCATCATTCGCTAAGACTTGTGCAGGCTGCTGCTGATCACTACGGAGGGCAAGACGGATTGCGTCCGCGGGACGTTGAACAGACAGCGGATATAACGACAGTACTGCTGTCCGTTGTCGGCGCAACACAGATGTGCAGGTCACTCACACGAACTGGGATATGCCGTATGGGAAAATATCGACCCCTGCATGCTCGGACGTCCCGAAGGTATGCATACCCACGTTGATTTCCCCGCCCTCGTGTCGATTGGCCGTGAATCGCGTTCCAGGAAACTTCCGAACCATGTTCCGCCGCTCGGTTCGCTGGGACGCGTCCTTGGCGACGATGGTCGCGACGTCCCTGCTCCCACATCTGACACGCGCCAAGTACGTACCCGTTCTCCCTCGATGCCAGCGATAAGTGTAGGTAGCTGTGGAAACTGGTGGATCGATTGGCATGGCTGGTCCAAGAAGTAAAACTGAATGGTAATAGTATGTGCGGATGGTATCATAGTCCACCCAGCTCTCTCGGTACAGTGCTCGAAATTCGCAGAGACGCGTCGTCCCCGCAACGCAGTTCTTGTTCATGGGCCATCTCGACCCCGTTGTTGCATGTCACGTTGTCCCCTTGTCACCTCCTAGCCTCTCACAACGCAGACGAAGCTATTACAACTGTGCTGCAGCGATGGCTACAGAAACAAGCCTGTTTGAAGCAATCTCGGGTGATCTTTCTTTTTCTTATACAACGTGGATGTGAGCGTACCAAATCACCCACCTCAAAAATCTCCCTACGGAAATCCAAGCAACTCTATGTCTTTCTGCCAAACGCACACGACATGTCCAGAACACCGGGCTTGGACCTAAGTGGGGAACGTCAACGCCGCCCTCACAGCTCCCGATCGGATACTTCGAGCAGTACATGACGCCCCACGCCAAGTTCCCGTCGAGCAGCGCTGTGGTCGCCACGGAAATGTTCTCGTTCCGCCTCAAGGGGGGCTCTTCTTCTAAGAGGCGACCTTCTTCTTCCGCTGGTGGTGGTGGTGGTGGCATCCGGTCAGGTGAGAAATATCGCACAGGGACGTTCATCGCCATCATCCCACTACGGTGCCCCGTTGGGTTACGTGAGACGAGCTTCGTCGACTTTACAGACATGTAGGGGAGCTCTTTTCAAGCTGAAGCTACGCTCCAATGCTGCCGGGCGTGGTCCCTTGTGACCCCTATCGCGTCGCCCCCCTCCCCCCCGGCACCGCAAACGTAAGGATGATGATGACCACCAGCATCTGCTTCATCCTTGTGAATCGTAGCCTGGGTCGGGGAAAACCCGGGAGGCATATCCCTCCGTCTCGCAGGTATGCGAGGTCAATGGCCTACCCGCTACGGAATGCGTTTACATGAGTACGTACCCCCCTCCCCCCCCCCTCGCAGGTTTCCTGAACGTGTTCGCGTACCTGCACGCCGACGGGATGGTGCGCCTTCGCGACACGGACGCGGAAGAGATTCTCGTCTTCGATGCGGGGCACACCCGCAGAGAGGCGTCGCCCTCTCTGACCACGGCGGACTCTTCGTCTTCAGCCACCGCCGATGCTGGATCTCTGAAAGAGGCAGCGGTATCAGCAGCGGCGACGGCGGCGGCGGAGACGGCAACGCCAGCAGGCGTAGTCGGCATGACCGCGGACTCTTCCGAGTCAGGCCCCGTGCTTGTGACGGCCGGCGCAGACGGCACCGCGCGGGTCCACGCTCTCGCGGTCTACTATCGGGGTAGGCAAGTGGCCGGGGTCGGGGTGAGAGGGGGACGCAGCGACCCCAGCGGCAGGAGGAAGAAGGCAGAGGCCAGCGATCCTAGCAGCAGCAGCACTAGGGGTGAAGCACCTCGTCGAGGCACAGGGTCGAGCGAGAAGAAAGGCGATCACGGCGGCGATAGGCCGCACGGGTCCCCGCCGCCACCGCCGGCGACGGCGATGGGCGTTGGCGTTACCGTGGAGTTCAAGACGTGTCTGGGCTCTGCGTGCCGGAGTCCTGACGGTTTGTCGCAGCTCCGGGGGATGGGGGGTGACGGTGAGACCGTTTCTGTCGGTAACGGCGGCGGCGGCGACCAGGAGACCGCCGGGTCGGTGTCGGGAAGCTTGCCGCCGCAGGGAGAAGAAATGGCGACAGTCATCACTAGCATGGACGCGTTCTTCCACCGGTCGTGAGCAGCGTTGTCTCGGCTTGATTGTACCCCCGCTTGGAGAGTGTCTTCTTTTGACTGTATTCACTATATGAACCCAAAAACAGCAGCAAGGTCGTTGCAGCTAATAGGTCCAACTCGTCTGGCACTTTTTTTTGTACTTTGCGTCGTTCGTTTTTTGGGCACTTTTTTCCTGGTGCTCCTTCGCTCAGGCTTGCTGTGATGCCGTCTTTATTTTTATTTTTGTTGTCGCCAACCTGCCCTTCCCTCTGGCCCCACCTTGGGGGACCCATCGTGTGTTTCCTCCCGCGCTGCCTGCACGATCAACTAAACAACATGTCCAGGCTTGGTACAACGGTTGTGATCGCCGGGTACTCCTCCGGCGGAGTGAGCTTTTACCATGCGGGCAACGGGACGCAGCTTGCTTCTGTCGATACTGGAAGCAGCGCGGTTCTTGCCGTGAAGCGGGGCGGCCAGGCACGTTGTTTCGGCGGTGGGATCATGGTAGCGTGGCTGGTCAGGGCAGGCAACAGGGTGGAAGAGTGTGCGCTAATGTGACGCTCCTGATAAGTAACGGCATGGTTTTGTTTTGAGGCGCGGGGTGGTCCGGGATGCACTGATAGCTGGATGGAAGCTCCAATAGACCAGAAGAGCTGACAATAATCGTGCAACGGCGGTGTTCAAGTCACCGCTTTCGTCTCAAGAGCCATCCCCCGATCATGTATGTTGCCGACCCCGCATGATCCCCTAACGCGTCCACCCGAACTACATTAACCTCTCTAAAACCTATAACCCATCCTCTCCATCTCACCCTCCCCCCCCCCTCGGACGAACGCGTCCCAACCAACAGTCAATCGCGTTCACCGACGGAGAAGACGTACACTTCGCCAGCTCTACCAAGTTCACGAGGGCGCCGGGTCGCGTGTGTCGAGGGGGCCGCCGGAGCGGCGGCGGCGGCGGCAGTAGCGGCGGAGGGGAACCGGCCGTGGTGACCGCGCTTGCCTTCGACGCCGTGTCTACGGGGGTCCTCTACGTGGGCTTTGGGACCGGAGACGTCATGGTCCGTGCATGCGTCGTTGTTGCCCCACCACGACTCGACCATTTTGTAAAACAGCCTCATCTATGTATCTCTCTTGTTAAGCGCGGTTGTTTAGGTGGCGTGCGAGCTTGGCAGGTGCAAACAAAAAGTTCCTCAAGCACCGATACCTACACACGGTCGGTGCCTAAGTGGTTGGTCCGCAACCCTCCCGGGCTTTTCAACCGCTGCATTTTTTGCCTCGCATTTTTCCTGGTCGTGCGCATGGCGGACCCCCCCAAAAAAACATGCGTATTTTTGATTGGGCGACCACTCCGTCATGCGTGGTATGTTTTTGATTGGGCGACACCCACCGGTTCATCATCGAAAATCAAGAAGCACTCACGGCGTTACGGGCCTTCCGGTGTTTATAATTACAGGCTTACGACAGCAGGGTTCAAGAGATGGACAGCTCCTACGCGTGCCTGCCGTCCTACCGGCTCCCGCCGCCGCTCCCGCAGCAGCGCCCCTCGCCACACGCCGACCCAAGCACCGCTACAGCAGCCGGCGACGGCGGAAGCGGCGGTATTCTGCTCGGAGGGGGGGGGTGCGATTCAATTTCCACAGTCCGCGGGTACGCGATCGTGTCTCACGGCGGCCTGCTGTCGGTGTACAACACGACCGACCATGCCGGCCGGTTGCTGTTCACGACGCACGCAACTGCTGCTGCTGCTTTAGCAGAGGGGGCGAGAACGGAGGACCACTGCGGAGCACCCCTTTCTCCCGGCACCGAGAGCAGAGGAGGCGGTGTGGGGGCTGCCGCTCTTGCGGCGGCGGCGGCGGCGGCCCCTTCTGGTGGGAGGACGTGGTCTGTGATGTCGTCGTCGGGTAGCGGGGAGGTGCTGGTGGTGGAGGCCTCTCGTTGCTCGGCGGTGAGTCGAGGTGGTTGCCTACTTGTGTGCCCGGCACTATAGCGACGTGAACGCCTTGCGGACACGCCTCCCTTCGTGGTGTGTGTTGCGTGACGCGGACAGGGTGAGAAACACCACATGGCATCGTAGGGTCATGCAGTCCATCGCGTAATGCGGAGACGCGTTCAGAGTCTCACTAGCGTTTACCCACCAACGGTATAAAAAATTCTCCCCCCCGTTTTTTTTTGTCCCGCACGAGGTGGCCTCGTGCCTTCCGAACGTCGGCGTGACGCGGAGCGTCGTGGGTGCTCTTGACGGACCGAGCCAGCGCTTTGGTCCCTGTTTCTTTCCATTTTTTCTCCAACTTTTTCTCAATTTTCCCCTGATTTCCCCTCCCCCTTCCCCCCTGCACAGGAGGTGGTTGTCCACAGGGCGGTCCTGCCGTACGAACGGAACGGGCCGGACATGTCGTGGGTGCGATTCCCGGTCTTGTTGCTGGGGCTGTTCGTCGTGGCGATCACACAAGGTGCGCGCGCCCCGAACAAAAAAAAGCTTCTTCATAAGGTTAAGGCCGTGTTGATTCCGCTGACCAATATGCAGCAGAGGGTGTCGCTTGCACCACCGCCGCTCTTTTTTGTGTGTTTTGCTTCGAGGTATGCGTGCACACCCGACACTGAGAAGGTCGGAGGCTACTGCTGTGCAGCGGCACAGGCAGCCTCCTCGGTTTTTCCCCCAAGAGAAAACATCGGAGTATCACCCAGACCCGAGAGTGATAGATATGAAACTACCACGTTTCAGCCTGAAATCGAGCTGCGAGTATAGCGTACACGGGGCAGCGTAAGCCTGCGAGGAAGAAGTATCTCTGTCGGTACAATCCCGCTCGCAGATCTTCACCCAGCCTGCCTGATTACCCCACCACCACTACCCTCCCCCCCGTCGCCTCCAATGCTCCCTCCACACTTCCCGCCGCGAACGTGCAACTCTTGTACTTGATGCCACAAACACGCTATTGATATACACCGAACCAGTCTACAGCAGGCGAGCGGCAAACAACGCCGCGGGCAGGACCAGCAGGAAGAAGGGGAGGAGCGGCAGCAGGGGATGGAGAGGTGCTGGCCTCAGCGACGAGGATGACGACGGCGGCGGCGGCGGCGGCGGCTTTTCGGCCGACGCCCTGGCGCAGCTTCGGGACGATCTGAGCGAGAGAACGTCGCGTCGCCGAGACTGGGGGGGTCGCCGGCTAGGGTCCGGCAGGGGGGGGGGCGGAGGCGGCGCTCGAGAACAGCTGTCGTGGTCGTCGTCGTCGTCATCGCGGTTACCGGCGCCTCGGCAGGGATACGGGGACCCTTGGGCGGACGAGGGCTCCGACTGATTCTAGCGATAATTCGACGATATCCGGAAATGCGAGAAAGCTGATAAAGAAAGGGGGTCATTGGTGCTTAACGGTGGGGTGGTGTTGTGGTGATTTGCGCTTGGTATGCGGAGGGAGGGGAAACGCCTTGTCGCGTGTGGTTATTGGTCCTTTTTTGGATGGTGCGGTGTTGTGATTTTTTATCTGTTGCGCTTGGTATGCATCGGTCGCGGGGGAGGGGGGGCGCGTTGTCGGGTGTGATCTCCGGGGCGGGATTGGCGCGATCGCCGAATCCGGAACAGATTTTGGTCGAGATCTTGTGTATATTAGGAAACCCTTGGGGAGATGGCAGGTTCCGATCTTGACTTGGCGAGACTTGATGTGCACAAGAGATGCCCGGAATTTGCTGAGATTGATACAAACTTGAACGTTTTGTGACTCAACTCTCTTGTGTTTATTTTTTTGTGTTCACTATTTTTTTTACTAAATAGGCAATACAGCACCGCCGAAGAAGCAGCATGTTGTAGCTGTTGTTGTGTTTCGATCTGTGACTTCCAACGAGGTTGTTGCAATTCCGTTGTCTTCACATTAAGACCCCTCAACGGGTTCCAGCCATATTCGTCTGATGTCATTGGGGACTGTTGCTAGGGTCGAGGGAAAAAGAAACGTTTCACCAATGAAGACCGACTAGGTGCCCACACGAGACGGGACGAAAGGGACAATTGTTTCCAACACAGCCGCCCTTACAGAGGAGTAGCAGTGATTCAGCGACGCCCTTCGGAAGCAAAAAAAAAACATGAGAGGTCGCGCATCTGTAAAGTAGTCGGCTTCCTTTTCGTGCTCTTTCCTCCCCGCTACTCGTTCCGGCGGTGGCGGCCGACTTGGGTCGAGTCTCTCACTCGAGACAAAATGGCTGAGGATAAAAAGTTCGACCCTTGAAGAAAAGAAAAGGCACATCACTCTTCGCGGATAGGCAGCCAGCGCCTGGATCTATCTCTAGACCTGATGCCGAACATGCTTCGAACCTGTCTCCCACTGTCGCCAGCACACGCGCCTCTACACCAGAATTGGAGAACACACACGTTTGTGTCGAGGATAACGTGTCACGGAAAGAGGCTCTACAGGATACTGGAACCCGTCATGCGTCAGTGAAATAAAATAAAGACCCAGCAGGGTGTATGGGGTGATGCGGCAGCTGCAGCAGAACGGCATCGCGAAGCACTCAACGGCGATCACGTGGCGTAGATAGAGACGACGACCGATGACAACATCACGGCTAACGACCGACACTCCCATCAGTTCGTGTATCGGTACAAGAGCTCATCACACTCTGTTTCATTCACAAGAAAAGTGATATAAACTTTTAGCTTGTAAACCATAACTATAATAGCTTCGAACAAGAATGCACAACTACGGTTAAGCATTAGAGCATTTTTGAGACCAGGAAAGGAACTCGCAGAATCGCATCATCACAGGTCCAATGCAACGGCGGGTTGCCTCAACACGCCACGAGCCCCCCCGTGTGAACTCTCGTCTGTTGTTGCGCACGATGGGGCTTGGTGCGAGCAGACAACTGTCATCTACCACAAGCCTGTCCCCTTACTGGCCTCCGATGGCTACCCGTACGATTTCTTCGCCAAATTCTTTCCTGTGACCTATCTCACTCCTAGCTTTATTGTGCTTCTTGAGACCCCAACGGCTCCTACCCTTTCCCGTCGTATTTCTCTACCTAAGGTCGCCCACACAAGCCTGCAGCCGATCGTAACTTCTACGGGGATTGACCCGGATTGGTTATTCGTGACACGGATGTTGAGCTAGTTGTCGACGTTCTTTGTTAGTCAACGGTCAAACGTCTCCAAAGCCATCAACCAAACGAGCAGTTTCGTGGAGGTCCGGTTACTTATCAATGCTGTTCCTTCCCATTACTCTTCGGGCTCTCCATGATGCGGCTGCATCTCCCGAACGGTTCTACTCTCATTTGCGTCAAGAAACCACGGCATCCTTCTCTCCACGATGAATGCAACGTTTGAATGTTGTCTGCGAAATCAAAAAAAGTTTTCCGGTGTTCATGTCTCCCTTTTCTGTGAGAAAAGCCAATCTAGGGAGGACTGGAGGGTTTCACTCTTGTCCCCCGTCCCCTCTCGGACAATTTTTTTCCACCGGTAAACACACACGCCTTTTCGTTTTCCAAGGGTAAACCAACCTGGCCGCTACTATGCTCTGAACAAATACATCTCTCTCGGCCTGCACTCTTCTCCTGTGCTGGCCCACGTGTATCGGGCACACAAATCAACTTGTAGAGTCGTAAACCAACCTGGCCGCTATGCACACCTCTCTCCCGGTCACGAAACACTGCACTCTTCCCGTGTGCTGGCCACAAAGCACACACTGATTCTTTACATCACAGGTCTCCCGTCGCGTCCTTGCCGAGGTCTTCGAGCGGAGCCACCACCTGCGGCGGCAGGCAGTCGTCGGAATCCAGCAACGCGCAAGCCGCGACGAGCTTCCCCAGGTAGGCGTGGTGGATCAAGCCCCGCGCTCCCAGCGCGGCGATTACCCACCCCCGCTTGGAGAACGGGAGCCGACCGGCGACCGGGATGCGCCCGTAGCTGCTGCGCTCTTGCATCACTCGTACCTTTTCACGTCACGACCATGGGCGCGCATGATCAGGGTGGAGCGGGCGAAAAACTGGAAAAACAAAAAGTTGGCAACACGGATTCACGGAATCCCCCAGGCGATCTAGATCATCTCATGCGCTCTCCATCCCGTGTCCGCCACTCAATTGGCGAAGGGGGGGGCGAAGCTGGCCCTGTTCGGGTAAGAAGTCAATGGGTGCACCGATATGGCGGCACCCTGGACAGCGGAATTGCCGGTAGGGCGGCACCATAAATCGCTTGTCACTGCTATCATATGCCTTAATAGCGTCGTCATATGCGTTTTGACACCACATACTGCTATGTCGAAATACCCAGAGAGAACATGTGAAATTGTTTCGTCTTCACTTCGCCGAAACGAGGGACAAAACACGGCCGGCAACTACGCCTATGGCGCGCGCGTGTTCTCCGTCAAGCGAGGTTCGATGGAACATGTTGCGTGTCCTGGGTGCCCACAAGAATCGAACTAAAAGCAGCGAGGATACCAACGCCAGCAAAGACGCGCGACTACTGCCTTTGAAGGATGGAGAACACCGCAAAAAGCTGTCGCGTCATTATTAGCCCAGAGCGCAAGGACGGCCAACGAAAAGATGGTTACAGTCTCAAGGCCAGGGAGGACAACACTCAGGTCTGTCAACTCGCAGCTGCGTAGTTGTCCGAACCCCATGTGACTCGTGTGGCATGCAAAAGTTCGGAGAACCCCCCCCCCCCCCCCCTCTCAAACTCACCCCGGCGGTGCATCCAACTGGCGTCACCCCTTCGAGAGCCGGGAAAAACCGGGCGACTTTTGGCCTCAGCTGTCGGAGGGCCTTGGCCATGTCCGGCGGCCTGTCCACCTGTGCCCGACACGACGGTTATCACACACCACCGGGGCCGGACATTCGAGAGAAATGACGGGGTTCATGAGCCTTGGAAACGGATTTCATTTTGGATGCGCGCAGCGGTAGTTGCGGTATTTCAAGATCACAAGTACAGAATAAAAAAATTAACGGTGCTTGCTTCGCAAACGAAATTGGAAGAAAATGGGGGACCTCATGGCACGGGTGAAAGGCTGCTCGGATTCAGAGGGGGGATTGTATCAGCAGAGGGTCCCACTACAATGACGTGGGCACCTCTAGATGGCGGCTCGACGTTGCAGAGTAGCGTAGGCTACACGACCCGCTCACGAAACAGCATTTAGAAGAGTATTTCCGAGGTATTTTGCGGTGTACGGTACAGCGCAGCGTCGAACAAACCACGACGGTGGCACGAGACGCAAACACCTTCACCACGCAGATGGTTCGACACGAAGAAGGGTCGAAGACGCGGCACATTCTTACCCAAGACACGCACGAAGACACGCCACGGCGCTGCGCCAGAGGCCCACACACACGCCGAGCTCTGTTGTGGGGGCGGGTCCCGAGCCGGCGTGGGTTTGCTTCCTCTACTTGCTCGTTTTCGTGAGCGCAAATCGCAGCGTATGCAAACCGCATACGTATGGACCCGACCCCACAGCAGAGCTCGGCGTGTGGGTCTCGGGCGCAGGCAGCGCCAGGAGCAGTTTACGCAGGCCCGCCCAGGCCAAGACGAACAAAATAAGACGGAGAGGGGTGAAGGAAGAACGCACAGCAGCCGCGCGGCGGTGGTGCTCAACACGTTATCTCCTTTTGAAAGAGGGGCTGTTTGGCTCTTATCATACACAACGCTACACTCGTTTTGGCTCTATCGTACGATAACCCGTTCGGGAAGCTGGTGTGTAGGGAAGGCTAGTCCGACACCAGAAGAATAATATAGGCTAACGTCAAAGGACTAGTCGTGCCATATGAACTGGTACCTCATACTGACCCCTACCAACCAATCCTGTTTTCCTGGCACCCGTCTTCAACAAGAGCTGAATCCCGTCTGCTGCCGCGGCACTCGCGCTGCGCTAACCTTCTGTCCGGGCATGAAGGGCTCCTGCGTCGACCCCAGCAAGATCTTGTCCCCGTTGCCCCCCCCCGCCGCTCCCGTCTCGTCCACCGTGGTCGGCACAACATACTGCCCGCACAGAACCGCGCTCTGCAACAGCCTATCGCTGCCGCCGCTCCCGCTGCTGCTGCTGCTGCTGCTACCGCTACCGCTACCCTTCCCAGCAGCCCCCTCCCCCCCCGGCTCCACCGCCCTCGCCGCCCCCACGTTGTCGTACAGCAGGGTCTGTCCGCGCACCAGCCGGAGGCTGACGATGTCCTTCACCCCGGCGAGCGCCTTCACCCCGGCCCCGACGCACGCCACCACGGCGTTGAACTCCCCCGAGGCGGCCAGCGCGTGGACGTCCTCCACGCTTTGTCGCACCCACGTAGCCCCCTCTTTCCGCGACGGCGACGAGGAGGCGCCGTCATCGCCCCCGCTGCTGTCGCCGCCGCTAGCGTTTCTGTCCGCGTCTGCTGCGTTGACGAGCGCGCGGCAGGCGGACCAGAGACCCTTGAGGTACGTCGGCGCGTCGACCGCTAACGCCCCCCGTATGCGAACTCCTGACGAGCCGGAGGACCAAAGACCGAGGCGTGTGGCGAGAAGCAAGAACGTTGAGAGGGAAATGGACGCGGGGAGTGTCGTGCGAAGTCAATAGAAGTGGCTGCTAGGGCTGCTGTGAGCCGATTCAACTCCGCGGGGGGAGAAGCGATGGGGTTCTTGGCGCGACGATAGAATGCATGGGAACCATCGTTGTGATTTTCTCGCAAATGCAAATTCGGTTCACACAATCCGCTGCAAAATAGAAGCCGTCGAGCCCGATTCGATGGTTTCTGAGCTCAGCACACCAACCACACCGGTAGTTTGACTTATCGGAAGGGTCTAGTGTTGACGGGGAGACGCTCGCTACTTTCCAAAACATGTCGAACAGCAGTATACTGTGTCAAGTCTCTCGACGGTTCTATACAAACCGACCCTACCGACCTCCTAGGCAGCGCTCAGCGGTTCGTTAGCCCAGCGGTGGAACCTGGAACCGTACAACCTGAACCAATCCTCACTCGGGCCGGGGCACCAAACCCCTCTCGTCGCCGATAACAAGGACACATTGGACGTCTGCTCGACACATTGACAACAACGACCGGGTGGTCGCAACAATAACGATGCTGCTGTACAACTCATAACGTGTTTTACCGGCCCTCGCTTGGCTTAACTCACCCCCCAGACACTCGGGCGTCGACCCCGGGACGGCCTCCATTATCTCCTCTCGCGTTAACGACTCCACCCACTGCGGCAAGTCCTCCGCGGCCTTGGTGAAGAGGTCGACCTGCTTCTCGTCCATCAGCGGCCGGTAGACGCTGTTTGTTGTCAAGCACCCCCGTGGACCGTTGGCTGGCGACGCGTCGTCACCGGCGGCGGCGGCGGCGTCATCGACAAGCTTATCGTTAACAGTCTGTTGAAGTAGGGGGAGGGGGAGGCACCAGGAAGACGTCGGCGTTCACGTACGTTGCTATGCACACGTATAATGGGATAAAACTTTTGCCAAGCTGTGTCGTACATAACGCTTTTGAAAACCAAGGAAATTATTACAATGTCGCCTCCGAAGCATCTGTGCGCCGCATTTCCCACGGCCTGCAGTGGACCTCGATATTCCCGGTCAAAACCAGACCATGGACACAATAATACATTTTGCGATGTCAATTAATGTCGGGTAGAGAACAACCCAAGATCCAACTTCTAACACAGCGCCCTGTCGGTAGTCATGAGGTAAGACTACGGTGCTCCTCCATGAAATTGTACGTGCTAATGCCTCGCCCTTAAATACTCATGTGAGTCCGACGCGGTTGATTCGTGAAGTTCTCGGCACCACGACACCACATACATGCGGCAGCAGTAGCGTGCTGCGCTGGATTTCGTATCCGTTCTGGTGTTGTTTTCAAAAAGAAAAATGTACTTCGTAAGAAAAAACGAAGGTTTTCAGTCAGATTGTATTGAAAACAAGATACACCGCCGCAAGTCAGGTCGCGAGAAGCTGCACTTGAGACACATGCAGCCCTCCAGGCTCTCGTGTTTGTCGTCGTGTGCAGCAAAGGAAAGCCGACAGCAGTAGACTGACTATTACAACTAAACGGCAAGATTCACGGCCAACGGCGTGACTCATGAAACAAACATGATCGCGGTTCTGCACATACTTGAATGAGATGCTTGGCAGCCTCGAAGCCCTCCTCTCCTTTCCAGATGAGCTTCCCTCGCGGCGTCAACGGGTGCAGCAGACCGGCAGCCACAGAGCTCGCGCCGCTGCCAGTACCGGCCTCGTGGGGGTCGAAGACAGTCACGTCCGACCCGAACGCGGCCAAGTGGTAAGCAGCAGCCATACCCGCGAAACCACCCCCGACAACAGCAACTCGTGGTCTACTGGGGAGGGCGCCAACAGCGGCTTTGACAGCCGCATCGAGGTCCTCGTCAGCAGCAGCAGCAGCGGACGAAGAGGACGAAGAGGAAAAATACAAGACGCTGCTGCTGCTGCTACTCCCTCTTGCTGTCGCCCGTCCTTTCCTGCTGCAGCAGGAGGAGAACATGGCTTGATTTGCGAAGGCCATTTTCCCCGCCAGAGGCATCCTGGCGGCGGCGCTTGCGCAGAGTACAAGCGGCACTATGCCTCGGATGGGAACTCGCCGTCCCTTCATCGGTCCCAACTCTGCCTCTGACAGCAGATATCTACTGCTGCTGTGTACTCTAACGGCAGCGTTGCTGGACTTTGCATGCAATGTTGTGTAGCACAGCACCAGCGAGGCCCTCTTGAACAGGGGCACCGCAGTTTGACAAAACTGCTGTGGGTAGGGAGGGACGGGGACCCCCATATCCTGCGCCACATGCACAGATCCTCTGTGCAGTGCTCAGCATGCTGTGCTGCGCTTTGTGCTGCGCAGCCTACAGTAGCGTCACGGTCCACGTTCGTGGCGTGCGTATGCTAGGTACATAGTAGAGAGAGAGAGAAAAGGTCCCCGCAGTTTTCTGATTGGCCAATTTTTTTGAAAGGAAAACGGGTGATGATTTTTTTTTTTTTGTCTTCGCTTCAATCAGAGCTCACAGCACTGACTGGTGGTGCCGTTTACTCCAACCCGCGTAGTCACACAGAAGAGCCCCTCTCTGCCCTCCCCTCCCCTCCTGCGGTACTTTGCCTTCGATTTTTAATGCGAAAAACTCACTTTTTCAAGAAAAGCTCGCTTACGCCGGGTATCGAACCCCTGACGTGACCTCTAGAAGATGTCGAGGATACCAACTAGACCACCGGGGGGACCGACATATGATTATATTCTGCCTGATCATGCACCAACGGAAGGAATGACTGATGATGCGGTGAATGCCTTCAGCTTTTATATGTTTCTCGAGAGAAGTAAGGGCAACGATCTGCCCTCCTCGTCCTTCGAAGTACTACTTACAGAGGATACGATGTCTGCACTTTTGTACCTTCTGTGAGCAAAAATGATGGGTAGGCCAACAAACGTCCAACTGCTAATTCCCAGTCTCTTGTCCCTACTTTTTGCGCGGCTTCCCAAAACTGAGTTCTCTCTTTTATGCGCAAGAAGAGATTTTAGGAAAACTACAAACCAATGCGGATTGCCACGGACACAAACCACACGAAACCTTGTTGAGATCTCAAACAAAATGCAGCAATCGTTTCTCCTGGAGTACAGCATGGCGCGCAGAAATAACTGAGAACCACTGAATGTAGTAAATGTTTTGGGGGCCGCTAACTTCAATAGGCATTGCCCCCAAAATGAACCTGCCACCTCGTCCCCCCCGCTCCCCTCCTGTGCCCACCCTCAAGCTCCGCATACATGCAATAAACCATTAGTTTGCGCACACCCCACCACTCCTACCTTACACAAACTTACACCACATATACGCTCGCGCACCGGCAAAATCTAATGTACGGTACCGCGCAACGCCCCCTTCCCCAACCCTGACTCCGCCACAGGGTGACACACATCCATCCATCCGCCAAAGGCCTACTTCGAGTTAGTTTACACACCACAATCTTTCAAACAAGAAAGCTAAGGGTTCGGTTCAGGGCCACCTCCCCATAAGGCTTTGCTGTTGCTGCTGCTGCTGGCGGTGTTTCCTCGAGATGATTCGAATGGGCATCACTGCCATTCGAGGTCGGTTCAGCAGTAGCACGCGGAAACAACTTGAGCAACGCAGAAGGTTCTTTTTTCCCACCCCATCTATCTGCTAACCTCTCCACCGTACATATATCGCAATCACGGCACCACGGACATGCCGAGACTTGAGCACGCCACGACCGGTACATCATTGATCAGCTGATCGTTTCCAAGGCCGCCACCCCTAAGCACCAAAGGAATTCGTACTCAACCTGTAACAAGACTAAAACTGGGAGGGGCTGGAGCTACACGCGGGTTGCCCCAAATTTGGGGCCATCCTACCCTTCCCGGGGATGTTTCCCCGTCCCCTCATCCCCTCATCATACAAACGCACGCCTGGTACAGGAAACCCTTGAGGGAGCGTAGCACCTCACCCCCCCCCCCCCCCCAGTGGTTTGCGGGGGCTAACAACGCATTCTAACCTCTGTTGGGAAAACATGTGGTTTTCATGTGATGTGCAGCAAAATAGTGTTTCATGGGCACAATCCCTAAAAATGTCGAGGTTGTAAATTTTAATCAGGGGCGCTTTTCAGCACACTGGGGGGCGGTACAAGTGGAAACCAAATCGGTACCAAACTTGGGGGAAACATGGTCAAAACTGTTTTCTGTGTGAAATTGTTATTCGCTCTCCATTTCACACAAA